TATGGAGAAACAGGACAGACAAAAATACTCTACTCTTCCTTGAACTTTTACTTCTTTATTGTAGCTTGAGAGAGCATTAGTTTTATATAGCACTAATATTTCACTAATGGGTCCCACTGTTTGTGACTTATTAATTAAACCCTATTAAGTCATTTGCAGGTGAATCACTTCCATAAAAGTATTTCAGTTTTCATAGTCATGTACTTGAATATTTGACCCTAAATGTATCATCTTAACCTTGACTGCACATTAAAATTCCCTACGGGACTATAAAAACATCCTGCTGCTCAGCTCTGCCTCAGATCAACTGAAGCTGAATCGCTGGATGGGGGCCTGGGTATGAGTAGCTTGTCAAGCTTCTCAGGTGATTCTAATATCTACCCAGGGTTGTAAATGTAACCTGCTGTGATGGTTTTGAATCCTAATTCTGCTTTAGCTTATATTGGCTGTACCTGCCAGCTTTGAAGACATGTCATCTTGTCTTCATTCATATCACAATAAAATCATTAAACCAGACAAGATAAAGTACAGAGCTCTGTGGCAGGTCCCTACTTAGCTTCATAATCAACATTTTTTTTAGTATTTAACCAATTAAGAATTCAGTGAACTCTATGATTTACCCCACATGTTTTAACATTAGCCACAAGGAAAAACTCCAACTGTTAAATGCTTTGGGAGGATGAAGAGACACCTGACCTTTATCATTTCCCTGATAGTTTAAAAATAAATACTAGTCAAAAAAAAGTAAATCACTTGATTTTATATTACTTGTTCTTGATGAATATTTATTACTTCATCATTAACTCAAGCACTTTTAAACAAAATACTATAGTTCCACATACATTAAAAAGTGAGAAAGAATGATGATGCCAGACATATTGGTCTGTGATTTCTAAAATCTGTTTCCTTTTTTGTTTGTTTCAGACACTGGAGCATTTGTACATCTCCAGGCATATGGCATGTTTTCTATTTATTTCTCAAAGAATTTGGACCAATTCGTGGGAGAGGTTAGAAAATTTACTTCAGCCTCGGTGCCTTGATGTCTCTTTAATAATTTGAAGTGCTTGATGAAATGGTGAAAATTTCTCTTGCCATTTGTTTACTGTAATATTTTTTTTTAAAGAAATACTTAGATCATACATGAAGAAACTTGCTTTGTATTGGAAGCATTTATATTAATGAGGCTTTTACTGTATAAAATAAAGAAAAAAATAAGCCTCTATTAAGAGTTGTTGCCATTTAAATGTTTTTCACCTAGTAAATGAACCTGTTTCCTTTACACTTTTTAACTTCTCATGTTTATTCATGTGGGACTTACCACAGAATGTCAGAAGCTGACGTTGGCTTCACACCAGTTGTAGTCTGTTTCTCACTCTATTCGTGGGTGCCCGCAGGGGAGGGGCGCGTCATAGTGGAGTACCTCTCTTACTTGCTGAGTCAGACTGGCATGTCATTGATCCTCTTAACTTCTGCAGTACTGAGGAACTCCATGCTCAGTCCTCTTCACATCCCCACCTGACAATCTCAGAGCCTCCGGAAGTGAGAAACATCTAGCCCTCAACAAAGAGTAGCACCTGATAAATAAAAAAAATTAAAAGATAAAATGGAGTCATTTAAGTATATTTTCTGGTACTTCTAAATTTCATATATTTCTCTAAATTGTATTTAATCCCTATTCAATTAATTTTCTTCCTTTACTGATTAGATTTTGAGCCATTACAGTCACATGCATGTGTCAAAATAGTGAAAAATTGAGGAAAATGGTGCCGTTTTTCTTTGTTTAAATGTGAGGAATATTTTATTTCTGTTGGTGTTTGGTTTTCAATGTCCTCTTTGTTACTTTCAGTTAAGATCCCTGATGCAGCTTTTATTCAGGCAGCCCGCAGAAAACGTGAATTGGCCAGGGCCCAAGGTGACTATATTTCTTTGGATGTAAAACATCCCATCACCATCTCTGGTACGAAGAGAAACAGTGATGATGATCCTGAGAGTGAGCCTGATGATCATGAAAAGAGGATACCATTTGCCCCAAAGCCTCAAACACTTAGGCAAAGAATGGCTGAAGAAACAAGTATGTATTTAATTTATTTACCAATATATGAAGATTAAGGCATTTTTCATTAGAATATAACATTATGTGATAAAATTGCCATAAAAATGGAATGTGGTGTCTCATATTGTAAAGATTGTTGATTTTGGCTTTTATTTAGTATCAGTTTGGTCCATGACATTATGGCTTTTAAAAGATGTATCAGTATCAAAATGTTGTTATCAAAGGGTATGTGTAATAATGTTTACTAATGCTTGACCCCCACTTGATCTTTTTTGATGGGTTGAAAAAAATTGTGCAGTATCTTATTTTTGAAATATTGAAAACTATCATTGTCATCTTTATAAACAATTGTTATTTAACATGGAAGCATCTATAGAGATTTTAGGTGTGATGTATTAAAATCTTTCTGTTGTAATAAAAAATTTCCTCTACCAATAATCCTAGTCTCGAAGGACTATTTACATATTTCTCATTATGATATATACATTTTGCTAGGTTTTTGTTACTTGAAATAATTTTTTTTTTTAGAATAAGACTTTGCTTCCTTATAACTGAGAAATTATTTTTACGTTTTTGAATTCTCAGGTAGGAATTGAGAGATCTTTGATAAAGAAAGCCAAACATTTCATTCTTTCTCACTTTTTAATGTATGTGGAACTATAGTATTTTGTTTGGTGATAAGAGTACAGGTTCTGGAGTCAGATCTCTGTGTTCAAGTTCCAGCTTCAACATAGTTCCAGCTTCAAACTCCCAGTGTTTGAGTTTCCTCATTTGTGAAATGAAGGCAATAATAGTGCCTTCTTCCCAGGATTATTATGAAGAATAAATAACATGTAGAGTGGTGGTAAGCCTGCATATAATAAGCCCCCCAAAAATGTTGGCTGCTACAATTGGAATGGAAAAATATTGAATGTTTATATGTGAACTTTTTTTCCCTAGCAAGCGGAAATGCAACAAGTGAAGAAAGTCAGGAAGATGAAAATCAAGATATTTGGGAACATCAACAAATGAAGAAAGCAGTTAAAATCATAGAGGTAATAATTTTTTATACCACATGTATTAGATTCCTATGGCCGCTGTAACAAATTACCACAAACCTGGTGACTTAAAACAACAGACATTTATTCTGTCCCAGTGTGGAGGCCAGAAATCTGAAATCAAGGTGTTGGCAGGGCTTTGCTTCCTCTGAAGGCCCCAGGGGAGAATTTTTCCTTGCTTTTTCCAACTTCTGGTTGTTCCAGGTATTCCTTGGTTTATGACTATATAACTCCTATCTCTACCTCTGTCTTCACATGGCCGCCTTCTCTGTTTCTCTGTTGTGTACGTTTCTCATAAGGACATGTGTCATTGGATTTGGGGCCCACTCAGGTAATCCAGGATGATCTCATTTTAAGATCATTCAGTTAATTACAGCCACAAAGACTCTTTCTCCAAATAAGGTCATATTCACACAGCCCAGGGGTTAAGTCATGGGCGTATTTTTTGGTAGGCCACCATTCAACCCACTACACCACGGATATTATGTTCTTTTTCCACTAAATTATAAATACCTTTCACTTGAGGACACCATATTTTTTTTTTACCTTTTATTTTATACTAAC